GGTCGCTAGCGAGGTTTGAGATACGGGCTGAACTTGCCTCCTATTATATATAGGCAGCCGGGAATTATAGTGCAGTCCTCCGGTTCTCTTGAAGTCGATTTTAATAAAGGAAAGCATTACAAGGAGGTCAGGACCAATCAATTCGTGAGTTAAGACTAGTTATCCGACATTCGGACAGATATAACTTAAACATCCTTTCGGAGACTGTCTACAGCGCGTTTATTGGACGAAACTCGAATTCTGAAAAAGGGAGGAAAGTGACTACACAGAGCTCTCCATGGCTGACGGCGAAACTGTAGCTTCCTAATGACAAGCAATTTTACAGTCATTTGGCGGCTTACCTCTTCTCAACCACATCTAAGCAGAAGTAATGGGCAAGAAAACTAGTGAATGATACAAGTAAACTATTATATGCTCAAATATGATACGACGGAGATCACGCCTTAATGCGATAAATGCAAAACAATTGCCTAACAGTAGTTAACATCTAAGCCCAACGACCATCCTCTATAAGGTAGACTAGGCACTGTTTACAGATTGCGTTCTTTGAACTGACAGGGAATTCCAGAAGAACTTTATCCAGAAATGCTACCAGACAGACGAACACAAACGTCTGTCCGCACATAAAAAACCCACTACTCAACCACTATTTTGTGTTTTTCAGAAAATAGAAGTAACCACAGAAAAGAGTGAACGAAGACGGTAGGAGTCCCACTGTTCTATCTGCCAATCAGAATCGGACTAAGTTTGCACATCGCACCGCAAACAAGCGAGTACAAGAGTTAGTACGATGAAGCTAGCCAAACGGAGTGGATCGCGGGGAAGGTGGAGCAAGGGAATTCGGCGCGAGGGGGAAGGGAGGGGAGTTGAAGGAACACTAATGCACTTGTACAAAAATGCAGAAGCCTGAAATTCTAACGACTACTGCCATGGCTCAGCATGGCTCAGAGACAACTGCTGCCTTCCCACTAACCAAACCGCCCATGTCATGTTTTCTGTCTGGCCGGTAGCACGACTAAGTTAGTGTCAGTTGCGTCCCATCACGAGAAGACATTCTGCCCAAGGGAACAGTTATGTAGCTTCTAACGAACAGCTGTGCTAAATGCAAAGGCTAGAGGTAGGCTGCTGCAAACTAAACCAAACGAGCCGAAACCAAACCGGGTTGAGGAAAAAATACTTATAAGAAAAAAGGGATATCCGATTTTTGCAAACGCAAAACAAATATATCCT